GTTACCTCGTGCTCGGGGCTCGACAATAGCGATACGAGACGTTCCTGCGACTTTACCACCTCGGTACTCGTCAAGTTCGATCGTTGCCCGAATTTTCCCCAAAACGAATTGAGGCACAGCTTTGCGACCGAGCGTAAACCCGGATTTTGCCCAATGTTTGCTCTATCTAGAGCGATACTCTCGACTGCTTCGTATTCTCGAAGATATCGTTCTTTAGATTGGTCGTCCACGCATTCGCTCGGCCATCCGCTCGCCTCTTGCTTCAATTTCAGAAAACAGTTTATGTATTCGGCAAATAATCCCCCTCGACGCGTATCAGCGTCGTATCGGCTCGTTTCGTATTGCCATATTTCGCTCACTGCAGTCACGAGATAACCCTTCTCCACAGCTTTGCGTAATTTACACGATACCCACACGTCTTCGAATTCGCGATCGCGCGGATTTTCGTGCGAGCACTGTGTCTGTGAGAAGTTTTCGCANCAACTGCGGCACAAGGCAAACAGCAGTTTGCCCTGCACGCGGTACGGGAGTACAGGGTGAAAGAGATTGCGCGAAGGGAGCATTCTACAACGCACAAGCCCCTCGACCGCGGAAAAATCGACACCGGGCATCGTTCCGATGAGCGAGGCGCACTCTTTTTGTCCGACAAGAATTTTCGGATGTCCAATCGGGAAAGCGCCGGTTTTCAACACGTAAAGGTATAGAGAACACACGTCTATGTAACGTATTTTCTCCGTACCCGTAACTTCGCGCCGAATCGCGATGTTTCTCGTTCGACCGCCGAAAATCGCGTCACGCGGTGAAAGCGGTTCAGCCGCGAGCATCGGATGTTGGTCTAAACACGCTCGCATTTCGCGATTTTCCCGCGTATCGCGATCAAAAGCGCACTCCCATTTCTCCGTCACGATGTACCCTCGTTTGCGAAGACGCCATGACGTTGTCAGTGTACGCTCGTATCGCGAGTTCATCGTGTCGTACACTTCGCGTTCCTCCGTGCAGAGACGTTTGTCGCGTTCCGTTTTAAAACACACGGGACATCCGTGCCAAAAGCAGCCGTGGTATTGCAACACGTGACGCTCACCGTTCGCCGTCTCGTAATACCTGTCGACGGGAATGCCTCCGACTTCCGCGAGACGATGTTCTCGCCCGTGACCCGCGTGAACAATGATGCGGCCGAGCTCGCGCTCCTTCCACACCAGCCACTGCAGAGCTTTGCGGGATTGCGTATCCGCGAGGTAATATCCGCCGCGAGGAATGACGCCGATCTCTTCCTCACGTAAAAAGTTTTTGCGGAAAACGCGCATACATGTGGAAGCGATGGTCGTGCATTCTTCGAACGGACATACGTTTCCGCGCTCGAGAAATATCTTGCGGAAGGCCATGCACGCTCGCCGCAAGACGTCGTTACGACAATAACGAACTATCTCGCGTTGAAAGTCAAAAACTGCGTTTTCGCGCATCTGTTCCGCGTGCCACGACAAAAAACGTTCGCGTTCTTCGCTAGACATACTATCCAGCGAGTAATATTCAACGGCTGGTAACGGACCGACGTACGACTGATTCGCGAGTGTGTTAAATAAATGCGGAAAATATCCCTTTTCCACCCCACCCCGCAAACCAAAAGCCTTCGGCAGAGCTGACAAACGCATCGGCATATAGTTGATACTGTCAA